ATATCTTACAAATTTTAAAAAATATAAAAATAAAAATTAGTTTTTCTAGATAACTATGAGGAGGAAAATACTTCAATGATTGTTCTACCAAAACCAAACAAAGTTTCTAATTCATTGTTAAAATAGGGCATCCACCATTAACTAAAAAAAAGTAAGAAATTTAAAAAGGAATAAAACATGAAAAAAAGAGGGGAGAAGAAGATGATAATTAAAGAAAAAACACATAAAGAAAATTAAAGAAGACAGAGAAGAAAAAAGAGAAAAAAGAACAAAACGACATGCCAACAGATGACAATTAATCGAAGATTAATGTCGTCGCCTATGACAAAGAATAGAAAAAACTTAAGTGATACATGATTCACTATAAAGAGGAGAATAAAATTAAGAATTTTTAAGTAAAGGTTTAAATAAAAGTTTTTTTTTGTATGCGATGTTTTATAGATTTTAAAAATATCTAACGCAATAATAGTTTAGTAAAATATGTTCTTAGATAATTTTATGTTTCATCAATCAAACATCATAATCTTACATTCTGATTAAATAAATAACAATATGTAATCTAACATTTCTAGTAATATGCTAAACAATCTTATATTTTAATCATTTAATTTTCAAAATTAATCTTACATACCATAAATCAAATATTTATATATACTATAAAATTATAATTCCTATACATATTTAATTGACAAAGTATAATTACATGCAACTTAATAGAATGGATTAATTAAAAATAAACAAGTCAACAATCTGCAGAGTAGATGGTTAAAAGTTCTTAGTTGACATCTCCCTTAGGTTGTGCGCTCAATGTCTATCATGAGAAAAAATTTCTTTCCTCTCCTCTTTAGGTAAATTTTTTTTAAAAAAATTCATCAGAACTAGTTATGTGCATAATCTTTTTATTAGTCTCGGGTGAATACTGTAATATCCCAAAACTGGGTTAGTGACTAAAATAAAAGTTTTTGAAATTTGGTGGTCAATTTAGGAAAAATTAAAAAGTTTAGGGACTAAATTGGAGAATCTTGATGTTGGATTGATTAACAAAGTTTGAAAGATGAGAGGGTATAATGGTCCTTTCATAAGAAATATTTTTATTTTCCTTTTATAAAGATATAAACACGTGAAGTTAAGAGGAAAAGAAAGAAAAGTTTGGAGACATGGTTATCTTCTTCCTCCCGTGGCTTGGCTTCAGTGGTAAGGTGAGTTGGAATCAACTTGATTGTTTCTTTAATTTTAAAGTTGGTTTTGATTCTTGGAGGGTTAAGAAAGCTTAAGGAATGCTTAAAATGGCTTAAAATTCAAAGATGGGTGAGTTATGAGAAATTAAGTGAAAAGAGTTTTTAAGGGAATTATTGAGAAAGAGTTAGTAAATAAGTTTTGAAGTGAAATTTGACTTATCAAGGGTCTAATTAGAAGTTAGAAGCAATAAAAGTGAATTAAGAACATATTGAAAATTTAGTAAGATTTTTGGTTCTAGAATTATAATGAGATACTGAAGATGATGATGTGTTATAGTGTTAAATGATGATTTAAGTATATGTAATTGAGTTTAATGGCGTGAAGGGAGTAGTATAAGTGGAGTTTAGGTAAAATGATGATAATTTTTGCGTTAATGAAGTAGAATCTGGATTGGTAGTATCGGTACTGGTTGAGTAAGTACCAATACTACAAGGCAATATTAAGTGATATCTATGTGTTAGTATCGATACTGTATGAACAGTATCGATACCATAAGGCAAATGTTTGTAAAATCTTCATGGGGTATCGATAATGAAGTGATAGTATCAGTACCATGGGCATCGATACTAATTTGGAGGTATTAGTACCATTCTTGAGATGAAATTACATAATCAAAAATGGGTATCGATATCGTGGAAGAGTATCGATACTACAAGCATGAGGGTATCAGTACTGTAACAGTAGTACTGATACTACTTAAGTGGGGATTAAGAAAGTATTGCTTTGTTTAGTTTATATTCATAAGAATCTTTCCGAGTAATTCGAATCTCGATATTTATTAGATTGCATATTCGTGTAGATAACGATCGAGAGCAGAGTCTGGACAAGTCGACCAAGTAATAGTCATCGAGAAGAAGATAAGAGATCAATATTGATTAGTGAGGCCAGGTGAGTGCATACTAGTTGATATATGAGATTTAATGGAAATAAGACTTGCGATGAGTCTATTTCCTATATTATAATGCATGAATTCATGAATGTAGGCATGTGTTTGATATGATTGTTATGTGTGGCTAAGTACTTGAATATGAGTGTATGTGTTATATATATTATTGTATAGGTTACATGATCCATGTGAATATATGTTGTCTGATAACCCATGTGAATTGATATAAATAATATATATGATTACATGAAGAGATAATATAAGCTATGTGATATAAACATAAAAGATTTATGAATATGTGATCATAAGTGAACAAAGTATATGTTACATGATACAAGCTATGTGATATGTTATCCATAATACAATGAGCTATGGGGCTACATGAGAATGTTACATGATCTATGTGAAAAGAATATATGAGATTACAAGTACAAGGATATAAGTATGTGATGATTTGTGTGATTATATGAATATGTGAATATGTGATGAACATAATATAATGCCCATGTTATGTGAAATGAAAGCTAGAGGTATAGTTGGCATGCCAAGAGTCGAGGGTTCTACGTGGTCCTTCGGGACATATAAATAATCCTTTGGAACATATATGTGATACTTCGGTACACCTATTTGGTCCATTGGAATATGTATGTGGTCCTTAAGGAGTGGCCATTCGAGACATATATGTTATATGTGGTTCTTCGGGATATTTCTACGTGGTCATTCGGGACAAATTCTATGTGCCCCTAATGAGAATTTATACAAGCTGTGGTGACAACATATGTGCACAACCTCAATGTACTCACATATCTTGAGTTCTCATAAGTGTACATGGGATATTAAGAAGATATAACATAAGTAAAATCTATGTGATGTTATATGTGTGTCATGTAAAATGGTATTATATTATATGATGTGTATGAGAATTAAGGATAATATTATATAATAAAAAGAATTAATGATAATAATATATGATAATGTTAAGAATGTGGATGATGATATATGTACATGTGTATATTTGTTACATGAGAGAATATGTGATTTTTGTATGATATGATAGTATAGAGTGTTCATGCATGGTTAGGAGTTATAGTTTACATTATATGTTTTATATGCCTTACTAATTCATAGACATAGCGTGTGAATGTTTCACACGTAGGTTTCAAGAAGATTAAGAAGCAAAGAGGAGCAAGGCAGGTCAGCTTCTCCTTTTTGAAGATCAGATCAGAAAAGAGTTTTGAATCACATGTATTTTGGTATATTAAATGTAGTTGGCATGTACTAATTTTTTTTAGTTGAATATGCTCTGATATGTTTTGTAAAACCAATTATTTTTATTTAATGTCAATTATTCAGCTTTGATATTCTTTTGTAAAAGTAAGTGTTTTGAAAAGTCAATGTGACACCTCAGACTCATATCCGGGTACAGGTTGGGGTGTTATAAATACAATATAATATATGTTTGAAAGACTCTCAACCACTTAACAATGAATGTTCATACACCTTTACAAACATCGTATTCAAACTTGAGACCTCAAAGAATAACAGCAATCCTTTATCACTGATATCGCTTGATTCGTGCACGTACATAACTCTTTAAGCCTACTAATTGTAATAATTACTTTTAGGGTAAATTACACATTTAGTACCTAAACTATCAGTTTTGGTCTATTTTAGTACCTAAACTTTCAATTTTTTCAAAATCATACCTAAAGTTTAGTTTTTATTTCATTTTAGTACACCGTTGTTAGAAAACATTAGTTTTTATTTCATTTTAATACCCATTCAAAATTCAACGTCAAGTTTTGAAAAAAATTAAAAGTTTAGGTACTAAAATGAACCAAAATTGATAGTTTAGGTACTAAACGCGTTAAGTTTTTAATGATGGGTACTAGAATGAAATGAAAAAAACTAAACGCTAGTTATAGTTTAAAAAAAATTAAAAGCTTAGGTACTGAAACGTAAACCTAAAAAATTTGACCCATACCCGATTTACCCGACCCAAGACCCAAATATGATAACCTGAAATAAACCGAATCGAATCGTAACTGAACCAAATTATAATTAAACCATAATCAACCTAAACCGAAATCAACAATAACCGAAGTCAACACGAACCGAAGTCAACTAGAGCCGAAGTCAACCCGAATCGAAAGCAACCCTAACCAAAAGTTACCTGAATCGAAAATATCCCAAATTTAATTTACCTATCTTTGTTTCGAACCGAACTTTGACCTGATTTTAGCCCGATAATTGAGTCTAAGTGAACGAATAATTTATTTATTTATTATTATTATCATCTATTTTTATTAATTAGATAAATAGTAGAATGATATATATTTTATACTCTTTTTATATATACAACTAGTTAATCACTACCTTTAGTAATAGTTTAATAGTTCAATATAATATTTCCTCAGTTAAAATATCGTCTCTATATCCGATAACTTCTAAATCATTTCAAAACATTATTTGATATGAAGGATTATTTAGACGGTTGACTATAATTAACTTTAAAAGAAAATATATTTTGGACATAAGTGTCAAATAAAAAATTCTCATTTAAAACTGATATAAAGATACAAACCAAATCAAATACTAACAAAATGTCAATGACACTAAATTATTCTTGCATGTCAAATTCAATTATATTAAAATAATTTGAGGAATTTTTAGTGTGTTGGAATGCAAATATAAAATAATATAAAAAAATAAATTAAATTAATATAAAAATTCTAGGGTTTGTAGTTTTTAGTTTAGGGTTGAGAATTGGGAAAAGGTAATGTGTTTTAGTAAAATAATATAAAAATTAAATTAATATATATATATATATATATATATATTATGTATTTTTTAAATATTATAAATGATAATAGTTATAATAAAAGTAAAAAAATAGAGAGAGTTAATACTAGAGGTGGCAAATGGGTCATTCGGATCGAGTTTGGGTCGAGTCATTTCGGGTCGGGTCATTTCGGTCTAGATTAAATTCGATTTAATTTTGTTCGGGTGTATAGTGAATCAAATCGGGTCGGGTCAATTTTCGGGTCGGGTGATTATTGGATCAGTTGTTTTCCAGTTTGGATCAATATCGTATCAGTTGATTTTTGGATCGGATCGGGTCAATATCAGGTCGGGTCAATACAGGATCGATTGATTTTTTGGGTCGAGTTAATACCAGATCAGTTAGATTTCGGGTCGGGTTAATATCAGATCGGTTGATTTTTGGTTTAGGCCCACCTTTAGATCAAGTCAATTCGGGTTGAATTGATTATGAGTCTAATCAAAATCAATTATATATAAAATAATTGATATATATTTGTAAAAATATGTCTTCTTATTTGTTAATTTTATCATTTAGGTTTAATTTCAATTCTCAGTCGTTCAATATTTTGAATTAAACCATCATTTAGACATGTAAATCGATAATTTGACATAAATACGATCCTATAATACGTGTTAGAATTTGTTATCAAATTTTTATATTGATCTCGTATGAAAAGTTTATAATGAGAACTATTTGATAAAGAAATAATTTTTATTAAAAAATTATTTCCAATTATAAATTTAATATTTTTATTAAATTTTTAAAAATAATACATGATTTTATTTGTTAAGTTTTAGTCGTAATATAAGTAAACTTTATATAATTTTTATTATAAACCTAATATTATTTCCTTTGTTTTAGCTGTTTTCTATTATTTTTATTATAAATCTAATATTTTTATAACAAGTAAGATAAGTAAACTTTATTTATTATTGTTTACAATCTTACAATTAGATTCTTACTTTTATATTCCTTTTAAACTTTCTATTATTTTATTATAAATAAATATCTTTAATAAATTATCCATTTTATTTAAACTAATTTATTATTGAAAATAACTTTTATCAATTTCAATCTGTTCAGGTTACTTTCGGGTTGGGTTAAATTCGGTTCGGGTTGCTTTCAAATCGGGTTAAAATTTGGTTCGGGTTAATTTCAGTTCGGGTTGCTTTCGGTTCGGGTTAATTTCAGTTCGGTTAAATTTCGGTTTCGGTTTGAGTTAATTTTTGTTCTGGTTTATTTCAATTTCGTTAAATTTTGGATCGGGTATGGTTCGGTCGGGTATAGGTCAGGTATCAGATCAAATTTGATTATCATGTTCAGGTTAATATTGAGTATTGAGTAGGGTAAATCGGTTCAAATAATCGGGTTCGGGTCCAGTTTACTAGGTCCATTTAATACTACAATCAATCCTAAAATTATTTAGAATTTATAAAGTTATTCTTATACTTCCAGATATTATAATTTGATTTTCAATTTTAGATTTTAAAGACTTATTGATTCAATTCATTTAAATTTTAAACTAAACTTCTAGCCCCGATTTGGGATGTGATAATATATAGTTTCATAAAATTCCTGAATTACAAGTAATGAAGAGCATCATGGATGACTATGACGACAAAGAGTGATGACGGTTGAAACAAATCGAAATCAACCCAAATTGATCAGAAAATCTAAAGGTTGACCCGAATTGAAACAAACCGACTCGAAACTAACCCAACTCGACACCAACAGATCCGATTTTGACTCGACTTGAAAACTAACCGATCTGATTTTGACCCGACTTGAATTAAATTTCCATAGACCCAAACTAAACCCGAACCCGATCTAACCCGACCCTAAACCAAATACAATCCTAACTTAAAATGACCTGATCCAAAATGATCCGATTGCCACCTCTACTGAAACGGATCCAAAACTAATAATTTATGTACAAAATGCATAGTTTATCCTTTTTTTTTTATTAATTTAGGGTGATTAAAGATAATATTTTTTCAAAATAATTCATAACTATTGCCAATACATACACCCAAAAACATAATTATTATTTAGACTTAAGACTATTAAAAATAATATTTTTTTAATCACCGAAGTGAATTTCAATTACATTGAAGAGGTAAACAAAACCGCAAAGATATATGGATGACAAAAGAGACACAAACATCTCACGTGCCAGAGTTTGGTGTCTTGAAATGAGAAAAAGACTAGAAAACCCAATTATCCAGTTTCATTCACCAACCGGCCAAGCCGAAGTGCCCCCGATCCTTCATTTAACTCATTGTTATAGAGTAATATTTTATGGAAAAAAACACCATCGCTTTGGCCACCCACAGTAGCGCCCACAATCTCCATTTCTCTCCCGCACCAATCACAATTGAGCACCTTTGACCCTTCTCTTCCCTCTCTGCCTTCACTTTCATTCTCATTATTCTCTGTTTCGTACATATATAATAAATCAGCACAGAGAGAGATTAGTTCAAAACAGTGCCCATATGATTCATCTCTTTGCTTTTGCTTTACTTTCCAAAGGGTTGTTAAACCCAAGAAAGAAAGAACAAAAGGTTTCATTTTTTATTTTCCCCACTTTTAGCTCTCCAATTCTCTAGAACCGCCGACTTCCATGAATTTACTGTTTTTTTCCCTGTGATTTGAGTTTTTGAATTTTGATCTGTATGCTGTTTTTATTGTTGTAATTTGGAGTATTTGATGTTGGATCTGCTATGTATGTCTAGGGTTTTCCATCAAGATCTGTTTTTTTTCATTATTTTCCCTACCAATCCTCGAATTTTCCTTGGGTTTTGGAAAGTTAACCTTTTTGAGATTCCTCAACTTATATGAAGAAAAGTGGTACTCGGCGGATTCCCTTTAAATGCTTTCAATGATTTGATATTTCGTTTGTTAATTCAGAACTTCTCTTCTGCTCTGCTTGTTTCTCTCTCTCTTTGAAGCAAAGTTTTTTCCTTTTCCTTTTCTGTGTTTGTGTACGGGTAAATTATCTTTATATTATGATGAATAAGGGACTTGAAATTCTCTCTCCAGCCTCTTATCTGCACACATCCAATTGGTTGTTCCAAGAGAGTAAAGGTACCAAATGGACTCCTGAAGAGAACAAGTGCTTTGAAAATGCCCTTGCTTTGTATGATAAAGATACCCCTGACCGTTGGATTAAGGTGGCCGCCATGATTCCTGGGAAAACAGTTGGAGATGTCATCAAACAGTACAGGGAATTGGAAGAAGATGTGAGTGATATAGAGGCTGGTCTCATACCAATCCCTGGTTACAGCCATGATTCTTTTACATTGGAGTGGGTTAACGATAATAGTCAAGGGTTTGATGGATTCAGACACTATTACACTCCAGGTGGCAAAAGAGGCACAGGGTCGAGATCTTGTGATCAAGAGAGGAAGAAAGGTGTGCCTTGGACTGAAGAAGAACACAGGTAAAATTCTGGGTTTCTTTTGATTATGATCATGCTGGAATTTATGGTAGGATTGGAGTTTGCTGTTTGATTTTTGCGATTGTTATGAATGTTGACAATGTGGTTGGTAGACACTAGACAGACAGTGTGTGTCCTTTTGTTCCTTGTGGCTTATGGTGTTTGATTTTGATGATTGTTGATGGACAGACAATTTCTACTGGGGCTTAAAAAGTATGGTAAAGGGGATTGGAGGAACATTTCGCGGAATTTCGTGACGACTCGGACTCCAACTCAGGTGGCGAGTCATGCTCAAAAGTACTTCATCAGGCAGCTCAATGGGGGGAAAGACAAGAGGAGGTCCAGTATCCATGATATCACGACGGTTAACATCCCCGATACCCCATCTTCTTCGCCGGATCACTGCAAGAGTTTGTCTCCGAATGATTCTTCTACGGTCGTACAGGCGCAGCAGCTAGTGAAACCAGCCACGACTAAAGAGATTGATTTTGAGTGGAAACAACAAAATGAGGGAGCACCTATGGTTTTCGACCAGATGAGTAATCCCAATGCTTTCCTGCCCCCATTCTCTGGGATTTCATCGTACGGACCGAAGCTTGAGGAACAAAATTTTCTTAGAGAAACTCTTCCCGGATCTCAATTCGGATCATACAACACTCTTTTCCAGATGCAATCAATGCAACATCAATAAATTCATCGACGAAAGAGGGAAATAAGGTATTATTATTAGTTAAATGATATGAATACGAAGCGGTGATGTGTATATCTTGGAGATGCAATTCAGTCCATAGTTTCCTCTATAAAGAGAGATTAGTTAGGTGGTTTTATGATTTCATCATTCAAATCGCGAATCATTGAACCGAAAAGATAAGCTCATTTACACGATGAAGCATCGGTGTTTACGTTAATTCTAGTCTAGTCGTGTGTATGCATCATCTGTTGTCACCTTTCATTCTTAGATTGTGTGTTCCTACAGAGGCTTGGTTTGATAATAATAATTCAAGTTTCCTTGCTTCAAACTGTGATGAAATCTATGAGGATCTTCTTGTTGCTTATGAACTGTGTTGTGGTTTAAATGGATGCATATATGAGCAAAGCGGAAGCAGTTGATTTGGACAGTGATGCCATGTCAAATGTTGCTTTATCTGACTCACTTTTGCATACTTTTTGCTAGTTTAATTAGTCTCTGCTTAATGGTGACGCCTTTTTGTGCAAATTCTGGTTTATATTTTAATCACTTGTAGATTACTAAAATAGAAGAGGAAGAAAGTTACATGGTAGTTTAATCAGTTGACTGATGATAATAGAATCTTGACTGAACCAAGATTAAGAACCACTAATCAAAGCATCTTGTTCTTCCATCCCACCTTTCTTTTTGCCAACCCCCTTTTTAATGATTCTCAAAGTAAGAATCCCGGACGTCGGAGACGACATCGTTGGAAGGGTCGGTCACGAACCGCGCCTCGTATCCGTTGTCGGGTCTAAAATCCGCGATGAAAACGGAAAACGAAGACAGCAAAGCAGGAACCTTGATTGATCTGAAACCTGCTTTGCCATTCTGGCTCCACTGTTGTTTGTTGTTGCTGCAAGCTTCATGAAAAACACCGGTGGCCACCGCATTGGTGGCACAATGCACATATGAAGGTTTGGACCCACCACAACTTGTCAAACAATTTAAAAAGCAGCATGGAGCAATATATAAAGTAAAACAAACCCTTTTTATTGAAAGGAAAAAAACTGTCCACTTTCTTTTTTTGAAGGATCATTTCTTTTTCCTGCAAGTTGCATAGGGAAAGCACTTCGGCTGCTTTATTCTAATTTTCAATCAAAATCCCATCAGCTCCCTTGAGCACTTGGGACAGTATGAAATCCCATTTCTTTCTACTTATTTTTTTCCCATTATTTGAATTCCAGAAATAAGTTTGTATGAAGAAAATGACAACTTTGGTAAGAATCCGAGTCTGGGTGCATCATTGTAGGGCCAAAGGTAGCTGCTTTTGATATAAATGGTAGACGAGAAATACAAGACAGAAAATGGAACATTTTTTCTTTTGAAAAAAGAACAAAGAACAGTAGCCTGTTCTAACCAACCTAGTTATGGAGGGGAATATAATATACATGAAGACTGGCACGATGAATCAGCTATTACAATTTTTATTCACTTAAATTTGCAGAATTATGTGTCCAATTATGAGTGGTGGTTGTTGAGAAAGTTCTATTCTCATTGTTTTCACCATTTTCTCCTCTGCCAACCAGATTCTGTCTTCCCCATAATGGCATCTACACCCTGCACTCGTTTATGATTTGTTTTAATGAAACTATAATTGAAGGGAAACAACATCCTATTTAGTGAGATTTGGACTTGAACACTATATATCGATCGTGTTGTCTTGCATGTCTAATCAAAGGTGTTGTATTTGTACTACTTATTTTGAGTGTGGGCTGGGCTACTTATTTGGTTAGCTACTTCAGTTTCTTAAAAGTATGGGAAAATTACAAGCTTACTTACTGAACTTTACTCTCTCTCTTAGTTCACTCACCGTACTTTCAATTTTTTTAATTTGCTCACTGAAATTTAGACATTGAACTTTTATGGTCACTCGACCATTTACTCAGTAATGAGGTGCTCATGTGGCTTATTTTAATAATAAAACATGCCACATAGGGTATATAATTAAAAAGATAAATTACACATTTACTCACTGAATTTTATTCTCTCTTCTATTTTACTAACTATACTTTTAATTTTTTTTCAATTAATATAGAAACTTCATAACGCCGTTAGAAATTTAACGGTCGAGTGACAAAAAAAATTCAATGTCTAAAGTTCAGTGAGAAAATTGAAAAAATTAAAAGTACGATAGTGAAATAGGAGAGAGAGTAAAGTTTAGTTAGTAAGCGTGTAATTTACCCTAAAAGTATTTTTCCCGGATTTAGGGTCTACGGCCTAAACCCTGGAAATTTATATGTTAAATATTAGGATAAACTACACCATTCATAGTTCAATTAATTTACACTCTTAGTTTAGTCACTGAAGTTTAAAAATTTTCAATTTAACTAGTAAAATTTTTGAATTACTCTTATTTTAGTCACTCTGACTTATTTATTTGTCCCATAATTTAGGATTTGAGACCTGAGATTGGAGTTGAGATGGTGAGGGTTAGCTTAATAAGGATTGGGGTTTATGATTTGGATCGACTTTGTGGTTTAGGATTAAATTTTGAGTCTGGGTTTGAGATTAAAGTTTAAAGATTTTATTTTTATTCTATAAAATCTATTTGACATTAACTATTAATAAAATATAAAACATCATAATAAAAATACTATTAAAACAATCTACATCATCATGAAATGATCAAAACAAAAGTAATTCGAAAGCCTGATAATTAGATTTATAAAATCCTTAGCATGGGGCATGGTAGGGATGAAGACGACAAAGATGGTTTAGAGGTGTGCAGCAAGACGAGAGTACAGTGTTTGACAATCGGATATTCAGTTTTTTTCTTACGATGCCCATCAATGTTGTGTCGGAATATGACTACCCAAATATTGTTAACGTGTCAAGTCCTTTTGAATGTCATCGTCGATGGACCTAAATGTTTGCTACCGGACGATATGTAGACGTGGCGCACCCTGAACCATACATTTTTTTTTGGATAATTAAAAGCAAATGTATACATTTCTTTTTCTTTGAAATAATGTTACACAAAGTAGTTATATTTTGATAAATATTTAATACTATATATACATAGTATATTAATATTTAAGAGAAATATATTAGATATTATTGAATTTTAGATATTGTATTGTCTAGAACTTAATAGTTTTTAGTTATAACACTATACTTTAAGTTTAACTTCAATTATGTTATTAGACCGTTAAAATTCAAATGATGTGATGATTTGGACAAAATGATATCGTTTTACCGTGGTTATTGATACCTAAAACTTAAGACACTAAATTTTAAGATATGTCGATTTTATCACTAAACTTTTACATTATTTATTTTTTAACACTGTACTTCTCTAGTCATCATCGACTACCAATCATTGGTCTTTTCTTGCGACAAGATTGATATCAAAATTTCATATTTCAATCTTTCTTAGATCGACGAAATTAAAAGAAAAATCTATTATTTTTAGGAGTTTGAAGACTTTCTTAGATTTGAAGGGTTAGGGGTGTTTCTTCGAAAATTCGGACGGTGAGAAACATGGTTTTGAGAAGAAGAACAATATACATCAAAACTAGCCACATCAGATCGTCCTTTGATCAGATCAAACTATTAGCATGTCAAATCTTTAAATGATTTTTCCATCAATCCTAGGAGAAGAAAGATGAGTAAAATGTGAATGTTTTGATACTGATCTTGAAATGAAAGACGACCAGTGACGAGCGATGATTGGCTAGAGACATCGTTCGAAAAAGTTTAGTGCTAAAAATTAAACCTTTTTAAAATTTAGTGATAAAATCAATATACCCATAATGTTCGGTGCCTAAAATAATATCATTTTGTCTATGTCATCATAGTGATGGAAAGATCCATCCACGTCGTCGTACTGTTAAAATTTAACAGTCCAGTGGCATGGTTGAAATCAAATCTAAAGTTTAGTGCTACAATCAGAAAAATTAAAATTTTAACTATTTAAACGATACACCGCTTAAAGTTCAGTGATATTTGACGTAGTTTACCCTAATATTTAAATGGGAAACCGTATACAGAGAAAAAGGGGTGAAGGCAATAGTGTTACACGTTCCTCATATTTCCATGGAGTTGTTTTCTTACATCTTTATGTCGAGAGTGGCGACAAGATCGATAAAGATAACATCTTTATGGTGTTGGAACAAAAGCTGTCTCGCAATCGGCCCCATGAGCACACCACGTGCGAATCTTGGTGCTGTTGTTCATCCACCAAGTTTTCGGTCCCATCCGTTGGCCAAACAATCTAGGGACATCATGGACCATATAGATTTATATTGTGAACCCTTTTCTCTTCACAAGTTAATGAGAAGGATAATTTTTTTTTCTGCAAGTTGTATGGAATAGGAACAACACTTTCGCCCCTTTATTCTAGGTCGATTCAAACTCGAAATTAAAATATTTTTCTTTAGAATACAATGATATGAAATCGAAATAACTCGCGTGTTTGATATATGTTCACTCAATAATTTGGCTGAATTATTTATGTTCCAATCATTTCATAAGTGGTCGTTGAGCAAATTGATTTAAATTTCATTACTAGAGCCAATGAGCTGTCATCTGTTTGATGATGCCTATGAATCAGTTTGAGCTTGCTGTTCCTTGATTGTCATGTCTTTCCCGGAAACTTCTGATCCAAGTAGTGACACAGTCTGTTATCCACTTGGAAGACAACAATCAAACGGTTCTAACACGACATTGTATTGACTTGCAAATGGATATGGAAGTGATTGCATCAGTTTCGGTTTGGTAAATAAATCAGTAGCCGCCAGCCTCTGCACGTAGTCTCACCACTCACTTCTCACACTAGTCCTTAAGCACGCTACTCTTGACTAAAATTCAATGGAGGATAGTGGGGAGAAGCAAAACGACAAGCTTACTTTTATCGTGTGCAGCGAAATTAGAGTACACTATTTGACATCCGATGTTAATTTTCGTTTATCAAATTTCGAATCCTTTGAAATTCTTTGAAGTTTTTAAAATTTTATATCTTTCAAAATATTATAATCTCTTGACGTGATCATTAGTAAATTCATGATTTAGTGACAAAAAAGTTTGTTCATTCTAATTTCTACCCTTATATAAATTATCATGCAAAGTTGGAGAAGAAGACTCTTGAGACTGAATCTCTTTACTGTTCATCATCTTGTTCATCTTTTTTTTCCTTTTTCCTTCACCAAACAATTAATTTTGATTCTCGATCAGTTTATATCAGAAAGGATGAATCGTCAAAATCCATCGTAATCCCATTTCTTCCATCAACAACAGAAATTCAGTTTCCTTGCAATGCCATGTGG